AGGGAAAGAAAAAAAAATCAGAGCGTTTTAAACATTTTCAATATTCTGTGTATTTTATATAAAATTTATTTCGAAATTTTTTATTTTTCTTTTAAAAATATATTAAAATTAATTTAAAATTTTCATAGATGCACAAGTCAATTTTTTTTATTAAATACAAATTAAAAATTAATATAAATAATCATATTGTAAAATAACTCTAAAATTCAAATCAAAATGCTATTATTAACAACATTGAACAGTGATATTGAATAATTATTTGATAATTTTTATAATATATATTTGAAAAAATAGAAACAAATACTCAATAATTTAGAAATTGATGATATGATTCTATCTTTAAAAATAATTTGACTAATATTTAATTATGACGATAGAAAGAAAATGAATTTCAGGAAAAATCTAGATGAAAATTTGTATTTATTTATATAGAAAATCAGGTAACAATAACAAATATGTACAAAATATTTTAGGGCCTCTAAAATTAATTATATTCAATTTTGTAATTAAGGAAAGTTTGTTACATTTGGCACTCTTAAAATTTGTAATCATGTGTAAAAACACACAAGTCACACACCATTTAAGACATCTTTGATTAAAATTACGCGAATAATTCATATTTGGGTTTATTTTATAAATCGAAATAATTTGTATAAGATATTCAGACTCAATTTTACAATTTTACTATCGATAAAATGCTTATATCATATAATTATAAATTTTTTATTTTTTATTTACTATAAAATTACCCTTAATTTTTTTAAATAAATTCGGTTTAATTCCGGTACTCGAATATATATGATATCAGATTTGAAATTTTAATATTTAATACGTTACAAGAGATATAAAAAAGCTATAAAAAAAAGCTCAAGACAAACAAGAAACCTCTCAAAAGATGGATGCTTCACATTCATTTGTTTTAGTTTAACGCAACGGTCTCTCTGTCGTGGACGACGTTGTTTCTTTGCATACTCTAGTTTTATTTTATTTTCTGTGTGTATATATATATATATAAACCCAAATTTAATTTTATTAAATTGTTTTTTTTTTCTAATTTAGAAAAAATAAACCCAAACATTTTATATGTTTATTTGATTTTGTACACTATTAAAGCATCTATAAACCAACATGTAGTCCCATGATTGCATCTTATAATGATGTTGCACAGTGGCAGAGATATATGATTAATCTCCTATTTCTTTTTAGATATTCGAATGGAGAATATCATCAGAGATAATATTTATAGATATGAAATCAATAGAATCATGTAACATTCCATGTGATGAGTATAAATAAAGAAAAATCAATTATGGTAATCTTTTAGAATATTATCTACATCTTTGCATTAAGATAGTTTCCTTTAATATATCTATATTTGGATTCATTTTTAATATTACAATTCGGAATATTTGTAAAATGGAAATGAAATTAAATTTGGATTGATACCTAAGGTTTTCTCAACTATAAATAAGCCCTCTTTTGTAGCCAATTTTTCCTCGTCCAAAGCCGTCACTTCTTTTGCGTTTACACAAACAAACTCTCTCTTTCTTCACACAAAGTTTCCATCTTTTTTTTTGTCCTGAGAATGAAGATGAAGCTCTTCGTTATATCTTTCCTCCTCGTCTCTCTTCTCCTCACATCTTCAATGGCCGGTTCATATACACGTATACACACACACATATATATATATATAGATGCAATAACTCAGTGTATCATACAAAATAAACAGAGGGTTTTCGGTGGTTTGATTAAGAGAACCCGGCATTTCATTTAGGAGTATATGTTATATAATCTTTTGCTATATTTTATGCGATGTGATGATTTTGCAGACGGCGACGATTTCTGCGAGGCCAAGTGTACGGAGAGGTGCTCGAAGGCGGGGAGACAGGACAGGTGCCTTAAGTATTGCAACATATGTTGCGAGAAATGCCATTGTGTTCCGTCGGGCACGTACGGCCACAAGGACGAATGCCCTTGTTACCGCGACATGAAGAACTCCAAGGGCGACCCCAAATGCCCTTAATCAGAAACCACTTTCCCTAGCTAAATTCATAACATTTCACGCATATTTACTCTTATGTAAGTGTTTGGTTGAAGTGCTTTAATTAGATCGATGGACCGACGGTGTCAAAATGTTACAAACCAGAGATTTGTGACATCGGGGCATTATTCCCATGCCTTTTCTCTTGTTCTCTTCCTTCTAAGATATGGTTGGTACGTAGAATAGAATTTTAATATAATAAGATGAATAATCATCACAAAAAAAAACACATCTTAAAATCATGTGTATTAATTATAACCTCCCTCTTGTGTCAATCTAAAAATACGAAAATTATACGGTAACAAATATGGACATTCCTTTAGAAAAATAAAAAAGAGTTTCTGTGTGGATAAAATTTAGGTACTAGTATACTTTAAATTTATCTATTTCTTATCGTATTAGAATGAAATATGGTAAAAAAAACATGAATTTTTAAATTTGTGTAAAAATATATAATTTTTGAAAATTTTCGCATAAAATAAATCCATACAAATTTACATAAAAAATACTCAAGACTTTGATTTTTTTTTTTTTGTAGAAACCTATACAAAAACATAAATGATGTTAGTGTTTGCGTGAGTTTATGCAACAAATTTTAAAATTTGTATATATTTATACAAAATTAAGAGTTTATGTATTTATTTATCAAATTTAAAAAGTTAATATTTTTGTGATATTCCCTAGTAGATTATATACAGTATGAATTAGGATTTCTAATTATAATCAAGACAAAACTATGTAATATATTTAAATTCTTTCGATTAACAATAATACACAATCTACATTTGAATTAAATTTTAGCAGTAAAAAAAGGGATGTATCAATCATATTTTTCATCAATTCATTACCAAAACATCACACACAAATTCATATTTTCCTTGTTGATAACACTAACAAAAGAGTTTGCTTATACGAAACGACATCGTTTTCAAAACCTAAACCATGTTCTTCTTGATTTCCGTATCACTCTCCGACAAATCGGACAGACCCTTGTATCTGCCTCCATCAGCTTCCGAGCACAGCCTCGGCACGTGGCAGAATGCCCGCACGGCACGAAGAAACAGTTCCTCCATTCCTCGTAACATATGACGCACAACTTCTCATTGTACACGTCCTCCGACGAACTGAACGACGCCGTTTCTCCGTCCCCTTTCCCCGTTCCGTACGTCGTTAACGGAGACTTCACGGACATCAACGGCGTTGTAACGGAGGCGCCTTCTCCGGCAGGCTCCGGCAGTCTATCCGTGCTGAACTCGGCGTCGTATTCGCTTAGGAATTTCAGTATCAGGAAAATGATTATTATTATGGTCCCTGAAGAAAAATCAAATAATCAAAACCCATGTCGGTCCATTTCATGTAATTGAATTTCATAGCATAAGACACGTATATGATCGTATGGTTAATTTGTACCCAAAATTATGATGTACGCTGCAACTCTGGCCTCGAATGATAGCTCTCGATACCATTCATCGCCATCATCCTGCGAGTCTTCATGCAATAAACACGAGAGAGAGAGAGAGAGAGAGAGAGAGAGAGAGAGAGAGAGAGAGAGAGAGAGAGAGAGAGAGAGAGAGAGAGATATACACACACTTGAGAGAGAGAGAGATAGATTCTTAATTACGTTATTAGCAGAGAAGATACACTTCAGAAGCCGACAAGAATCGTACGGAGATGATGAGCTTGTGGTTGAACCGTCCATCTTCATCAAGGAGATTAGGTTCAAATGAATCCTGTATTATCCATCCATCTTCTTCGTTTTTCTTCTTATTGGCTGTTGGATATTTTGGATTTTGTTATTAGATGCCATTGAACAAGTGATTGATTGTTGATGAATTCCAACTATATTCTTTAGTTTTATTTCATTTTTTTTATTTTTATTTTTTGCAAAAGGGACGTCGTGCAAACAAGATTTGAGAAGAGATGGAAAATGTTGGATATATACTTTTTAAAAGAAAAATAGGAACAAGTAAATGAAAGAATCTTTCACGCTTATTGTTATTTTAAAAAAATAATATATGAGGGAAGATGTATCTAAAGGATTCAGTCCATTTGTTAAAACTAAACGGAAGCTAGAATGCAATAGCTTTGAATTAAATACCCAAAATGCCAATATTCTTACTCCAAACATTACCAAAAGAAACAAATAAAAAGAAAAACAACATTCATTAGGAATATTAAAAATCCATGAAAACAAAAATAGATGAAAGATCAAGTTTGGGGAGGAAACATATATTCCAAATCATATGGTTGAAATCCGATTCCGAGATTAGTCTGATCTTGATCCACAATACTCGATTACAACAAAAATAAATGTTTTTCGTAATGTACCTTTTGTGATCGATCCTTTTCGATATCACTATATGCGATGTTATTTTCTATGCAAATTTCTTGAAGATTTCGAAAGAGGAGAGAGTATATAGGTGGTTGAGTTGCAGAGGTTTAAGGATGGCAATGGAGGGTTCAACGAATAGTGGGTGAAGCCTTGCAACAAGTGATTAGGTGATTGTAAGACCGGTAGGTTTGAGTTGAATGGTGGATGGTTGAGCCCAATGGGCTCATTTTGGGCCACGTTTGGGCCGCTTGCTGTCTTGTTTAATTCTTTTCTTTTCAATATTAAAAAGCTAAAAAAATGTGTTTTTTTAATTATAATGAAAAAACATAGACGTTACGATTTACCAAAAAAAAAAAAAAAAAATCTAGTTTGGATTCATTAAATCTTGACCAAACTAAATTATTCGTATATTTTGATTTTCGCTAATTATTTATCAATCAAGTTTCTTATTTAATATGAAAATTATTTCGGAAAATGAAAGATATTCATACCACATCAATTGGTATTCAATGGATCCAACAAGGTTCCATTAATCTCTCTACTCATCCAGATGCTTTTACAGCTATTACAAAGCAAACTGCTTTCTTAAAAAAAACAAAATCTAAAAAATTATGCAATAATTGCATCTGAGGACAATAAATTATTGGAGAAATTGAGGAAAGGATTGTCAATTATTTATTTATTTATTTCAAAATATTTTGGTGGAAATTTTGGAGGGGAAAATATGAGGCCAATGAGAGAGAGCGCACCAATCTCCAAATCTAAATCTGAAATATTTATTTTTTTTACCAAAACATTAGGAGGGAACTCTCACTAATCTCCATCTCCCAATTTTAATTTTTTAATTTTATATTTTAAAAGAGCCCAGTTGCTAGATTCACGATATTTCGAATTTTGATGGTTTTTATAATTTTTTTAATGTATAAAAATTATAGATATTTGATTTTATATTTACTTTAGATTTAATTAAGTTGATTTGATTTTAAATAAAATTATTGCCCAAAGATATTTTGAATTTCTATTTTCAGTTATCATTTTTATTTTAAAAATTCATATAGATGTTTAATTTTATCTGTATTTTAAAATGATTTCGGCTCTTACCCCAAATATTTTCAAGTGGTTTGGCAACAAAAGCATCCGAGTCCAAAGCAAAAGATTTTGCACAGAGCGCCACTCCCCCAATTGGTTTTTTTTCAAAATCCCTCTAATGGCGCTTCTTCTTCTTCTTCTTCTTCTTCTTCTTCTTCGCTTCCCATTTTATCTTCTCCTCCACGACCCTTCTTCGTCTCGCCCCTCCTCTTTTGATTGCACCCTCCTCTCTCCTCTCTCGACCCCAAAGCTCGACTCTTTCTTCTGTAATGGCCAATCAAGAGTCCGCTTGCCTCAGGGTCACTCGGGCCATTAAGAAGAGATCCGCTGCGGCGGCCGCTATGGCGGAGGTGGAGGATTGTCCGGTGGGGAAAAGAAGGGTTGTGTTGGGCGAGCTTAAGAATCTAGCGAACATTGTCGTTTCTGTTAACCCTAATTTGGGGAAGGAGACCCAGAAGGCGAAGGGTAAGGGTAAGGGCAGGGTCGCGAAGGCGAAGAGGGTTTTGATTCCGGCAACGGAGGAAGATGAATCGGCGGCCACTGATATTGACGCTAAGTCTGATGATCCCCAGATGTGTGCGGCTTACGTTAAGGACATATTCGAGTATTTGTGTAAAATGGAGGTAATTGGATCTCTCTTTGGTCTGATTTCTCTCGTCGATTAGAAGGGCAGTCCCTGTTTTCTTCCGCTAGAGATTCGATCCGGTTCTGTCAGGGTTGATGTTTAGATTCACTGTTAATTTTAGAAGGGTTTGCAATAGCTAGGATTGTTTTGCATTGGATCATGATTCATGACTGGGGATTAGCAATAGGTCTCTTTGTCTGAACTTGATGGAGTGATGACAACAATTCTGCAAATGTGAAATGTAATTCTTGCGATGGATTATGTTACCTCCATGGTTCTTGGCTAATGGGAGGCTGTGATTATTATTTTTTTGTATGTTTAGGCTGAACCTAATAGAAGAGCTTCTCACAATTATCTTGAGAAGATTCAGAACGACATAACTGCAAATATGAGAGGGGTTTTGGTGGACTGGTTGGTGGAAGTTGCAGAGGAATACCGACTTGTAGCCGACACTCTCTATCTCACTGTCAACTACGTCGACAGATTCCTGTCTCAGAAATCGCTCGAACGGAAGAAGCTTCAGCTTCTGGGCGTCTCTTCGATGCTTATCGCCTCGTAAGATTCACAACTCTTCCATGTTTTCGGCATTGGTAATTTGGTATTTCTATATGCTTATATTGCTTGGTTTGTATTGGGATTTTGTAGAAAGTATGAAGAGATCAAACCACCGAATGTGGACGACTTTTGCTATATAACCGATAATACTTACACGGGAGAAGAGGTCGTGAAGATGGAAGCCGACATACTTTCGGCGCTGAAGTTTGAATTGGGCAGCCCAACAGCTGTCACGTTTTTGAGGTCAGAACAGAAGAATCCCTTCGATGACAAATGTTTTAGTTAAAGCCGGTTGTTTCTTTCGCCTAATCTTTGTTTATTGGTGTTGGTTTGTTGGGAATGCAGGCGATTTATCAGGATCTCGCTGGAGGATTACAATGTAAGCTGAATTCCTTACTGGGTTTTTAACGGTTAATCGAAACTCCGTATAAATTGTGTCAGTTGTATTCACAAGTTATGTTCTTCTTGCAGAACTCCAATTCTCAGCTCGAGTTCTTGGCTCATTATCTTGCGGAGTTGAGTATGTTAGATTACGAGTGCGTAAAGTTCTTGCCATCTCTCGTTGCTGCATCTGCTATGTTTCTTGCAAGATTCATAATCCGGCCAAAGGCACATCCTTGGGTGAGTAATCACAGCTTAACAATCTTTCTTCCTTTTTTTCAGATCTTGGCCCATAATCGCCTAACAATCTTTGCTTTCTCTGCAGTCAGAAAGCCTTCAGCGATACACGAAATATCGACCAGCCGATGTAAAACAATGTGCCTCTGCCCTGCACGACTTGTATCTGAGAAGACGGGGGGCCGGATTGCACTCTGTAAGAGATAAATACAGTCGAGACAAGGTATAAATACACGTTCTTTACAATTTGCACACGTCTCTTCCTTCTCTCGACAATTCAGCGGAAGGGTTCTTCTCGCTCACCCTTCCCTGATTACGTTCTTGAAACAGTTTGAGGCCGTAGCCAACACACCCGCTCCACCGGTAATACCAGAATCGTTCTTCTTCGATATCACGCCGTGAAACCTGAAATCGGTCATCTGGGTACTGGCATTTGTAAAGATAAGAAGGAAGATAAGGCAACAGCAATGGCAAAGTATGGAATTGGAGCAGAACTTCGTATGGAACGAGGCAATGCCTAGTGATGATCATTATCTTTGGTGAAAAGATCCATGATTTGCTGAATCCATCCAAAGGCCATCACAGAGGAGGCTGTGAAGAACCTGTGCTGTTTTCTCAAGAATCAAGAATTGGGAGGGAAGGAGATGTCTGAATTTAGATGGCCCCACACGAACGAATTTAGGACAAGATAGCTGAAGGCCTGAAGCTACCCATTCTTTTTCTTCGCTTTTGTCGTGTTCAGTTTCTTGTATAAAGTTTTGATTCTGTTGTCCTTTTGTCTGGTGAATCCAATAAACTAGGTAATGCAAAAGGTGAAGGCTTTCTTACAACTCAATTCGATTATTGAGCTTTTGTGGTTATGGAATTTTCAGTCCCTGAATTTTTCTTCAAGATTTTGAAATATGTAAAAACCAAAAAAAAATAAAAATAAATTAAAACTTGCATATATGCACCTTAAAAGAAACCAAACTCTTTATTCACACGTATGATACCATGAAGTTCGTTGTTTTAGAAAATATATAAATATATATATATATATATATATAATTAAAGCATCAGGTAATAAAGATGCCTGTCTTGTCTTCTGCTGTAATCTCAGAAGTTGTGATTTTTATCCAAAGATAATAAAAACAAGAAAACAGACCAAAAAAATATTATGTCCATTGTATAAATCTGAAAACTGAAACGACTAGTCGTATTGGAATCTCCTTCGAGGAGATAATACGGAGGATTTCTTTTGGGTCAATCCAGAAAAAAAAATATTTGTCAAATTAAAAAATTTGATTGCTTTTTTCACTTATGGATGAAATAATTCAGTTCTTGTCCTTGTTTTGTGATAATCATCACATACACACACACACATATATGTATATATATATATATAGTGTATTTTCTGCTTTATCCTTCCATCTTTTCCTCTCAAAACCGTGTAATTTATAGAATCCTTCGGTTAATGTGAAATCCACACTAATTAAGTGGAATGATTAAAATATGGATAGCAAATGCATATTCCCTGAATCAGGGGAATTAAAAGCTAAAGATTATGTATGTGTATATATATATATATATATATATATTAAAAGGTATGTAGAGTTTTTTTTTGTCGTTTGCTTCATGTCTCTGCATAGAGAAGAGATCTCAGCATGCTCTTGATCATTGATAATCTATCAAATTGTAGGTGTACCATAATAGATCTTTTTAGTTACATAAATATTATTTTTGGAAGTTTATTAATGTAATTATCAATATTGACAATTAATGCTTGTTTACAACCCAAGTTCTTATACCCTACAAGATAGATAATTAAGGCAAAAAAAAAAAGATTAAGGAAACTCTAAATTCTATGTTTAAAATTCCCCAATCTAGATAGAAATGCAATGTATATAAATATTGACATAAGTAAATATTTGTAAGGTGTTCACAAACGGATGGTAGAATATGTAAGAGATTTCTTCATGAGAGGTTGCCCATATGATCTTATTAGTCTTTCTACAAAATATGATATATATATATATATATATATATATATAGTTTGAGTATTACAAACATTTAATGGTATATAAACATAATTTGGTTGCTGTTCCGGTTTAAAAAAAAAATGTGCATTCTTCTGATATTGATATTCTACTAAACAAAATTTCCAAATCCGCCAATATAATAAAATCTTGGAAATTGTACACAATAATGCATACACTAAAAGTTGATAAATGTGATTTTCTTACCATTGCAATTACTTATAAAATGTCAAATTGTGAGACGATTGTTATTATTTTTGACAAACGAAAGAATTTTAAAAAATAGTAATTTTCTTGATCTCTCAAATATTCCATGCATGATATATAATGTTTATTTTTTTTTAGAATTTGGAAGTTCACCAAATATTTGATCCGACTACATCTCCCAAAGAAACGGAAAAATCCATGTGAATGTCTCTTTTCTTTACCGGTTGAACCACCAAATTTTGGATATGTCTATTTTTATTTTATCATATGAAACCAAACACAAGAGAAGAGAAAAGACAAACAAACACCTTCCATCAATTTCATTGCCAAGAAATGCCTAATGAATGTATTTGCTCTCTGTTAATACTATTACATATACGTATATAACACAGAGGGACCCTTTGTTTCAGGGACTGAAACCCTAAAACTCTTCTTTTTTTTTTTGTAAAATTAAGAATAAAAAAAGGCGAGAAAGAGAAACAATTAATCAAAAAGCAAAGGAAAAAAGAAGTTGTCGAAAAGCTCAACACAATAAAAATCCGGAGGCATGCATGCAAAGGTAGACACCGTAATAAAAGGACCGAATCAAACCATTATCTATGCATATAATATTCATATATATATATATATATATTTATATATCTGAAAATATTTTAGATTGTACATCAGACCCAATAGAAAATTTTATTTGAAAATTTCAATCCGTGACAGTTACAGTGGACTTAGCATAACTATGTGAAAATTACATCATAAGTCCTAACCCTAGTTTTTTTTTCTTTTACTTTGCGATTTCACTCAGTCTAAGCCTAGAGTCCAAATGTCGGATTTTGGTCATTCAAAAGTTGCTTTTTTCAAGGAATAAAAAAGGGGGTGGAAATGCATTTTTTTTATATTTTTATTAATTTGCATTTCATATTCTGAATCATTAGGCTTAAATTTCCAAGAAAACCCACAAACTTTGCACATATTTCTACACGACAGCTCCACTTTAAAACCTCGTTTTCCTTCTCACGACCAAAGCAGTCATCTCTTTCATGTGATTAAAAACTCACTTCCTCGTCTCAAAGCACCCAAAAAAAAAATGCACTTTGAACAATACAAAAACCTCACCCTCCTAATTCTCCTCCTCCTCTTCCTCTTGCCATTGCCATTGTTACTCTCGGGAGGAGAGAGAAACCAATTCAGCATCAATGGCGTTTCTGCAAACAAAAGCAAATACCCATCAAAGGAGGAAGACGAGAAGCTCTTGGACCGAAGCATGAGACCCACGAGGAGCATCATGCATGATCATGATGATGACGACGACTTCTCATTCAGCAAGAGAAAAGTCCCCAATGCCTCTGATCCTCTCCACAACCGCAAATAGGGTTTAAGCAAGAATCTAAAATCTGAACTCTTTTTGATTGCTTTGGTCTGTTTTCACTTGATGAAAACGCTAGAAAATGTTTATTTCTTCTCTTTCTTTTCTTTGTAAGAAAAACGTCGAGATTATATACCATTGGACCGACCCTTTCGGTTTCTCAAGATTGCCTGTAAATTTTCGTTTTGGTGAATATTGTTCACTATAGAAAATGTTGTATAAATGTTATGGTAAACATTTTATATAATTGCTAATGGAGTTACGTACGTATTTTGATTTAGTGGTAACCGCTTAGGTTATAGATTAGATGCCCAATATTTTATTAAGAGATGGAAATAATTAACCGCCCATATATAGCATTTACAATTACAAAAAAAAAATAAAAATAATTAACCGCCCATGTCAATGTCACCTTTTATATTTCATCGAAATTATAGACTCTTTCTTTCTATAAAAGAAAATATTCATTTCTTACGAGTTCTTCCTTCAAATATGTTTTTTTTTGTCTGTATAAAAAAATATCAGAAGGAAGACAGGAAGTCAATAGAGTTTCAAACCCAACAATTAATCCATCATTATCACTTTGAAGTTTGAAACGGCCGAAACCGACCAAAGACTTGTATAAGTATTTCGACCTAATTCAGTAAATCAACCAACACCTCCAACTTCAAGCAAAATATAATATAAAAAAGAATATTATAATCAATATATAAAATCGGATACCATTTTCCTATATATGGTAAGTGTACATATACATAAACATGATGTTTATGCGTATTAATCTAATTAACGAAATGATTTCAGATCATGGACTATATATACACACACACACCCACTCCTTATCCACTGTTGTTATTTCTCAGTCAAGTCCATTATCTGAAAGTTTCAGTCTTGAAAGTTTCAGATACGGTTAAGTATAATTAGTATTATCATTAATTAATTAATTATTTAGAAATTCAGAATCTATCTGCAAGTTTTGTCCTTTTGTTGTTTTCGTATCTATCAGATGCAGTAGCATGTATGAACTGAACTCTGAATATCCTCGGGACCTTATAAGTAAAATAGAAAATAATTATTTGACAAACAAAATTTAAATTAAAATGATAATTTATAATATCTAATATAATTTTACAATGAACAATAATTAAATTTTAATATAACTAATAGTAAAAAGTGACACAAATAGTAAGGAAATAATTTAATTTTTATTAAATGATAATTTTACTTATAATATTTGCAATTTTTTTTTTGATAACCGGGTAATCCCAGACCCAAAGGGTCCAGACTAATCCCGACCCACACGCACAACCGGCACCACACGTGTGGGATGTGAAGCACCCGAAGGTGGCCGGAGGAGAAATCTCCATACCCTGGATGTTGAACCCACGACCTCTTATTCAGGAAGTGAGCTCTCAAACCAACAGAGATGGGGGAGATCCCTATATTTGCAATATTATTTAAAATAAAAATAATGAAATAAAAATATAATATTTATTATAAGTATAATTCAAAATTATATTTTTTAACAAATTCGTCAACAAAGAATGGGTAATGTTAAATTTTAAATATTTTCACATATAAATTTATTATAAAGAAATTATTTATTAAAAATCTAACATTTGATTTTTTTGGGTAGACTGTTTAAAAAAATCTGTAAATTATTTAGTGTTGTAGTTATTTGTAAGTTATTGTGGTAAAATTATCTGTATGTTGTTTATGTTAGCGGTGTGATAATGTTTTTAGCATTTTATGTTATTTACGTTATTAATGTATGCGTGATATGAAAAATGGTTGCCATTTGATTATTAATCGAATAATCGAAGTGAATCGAATCGAACAGTAAGTATAAATGAATCTAATGCCACATAAAAATTGACCGATTATGATTTTTTTTAAACAAAAAATAAATCCCAACTAAATAAAAAAATTAAAAAACCACAAAATCTTTTAGAAAATGAACTTTTTACCTGGTTTTTACTAATCTGAATCGAACCGGTCTGATCCAAACTTAAATATAAAAATAGAATGATTCTAGTTTTTGTATAACCAAACTAACGGAATCCGAACATAATCGAATGAAACCCGAAATGACCATCTTACTTGAGAAGATGAAATGAAACAGAAAATTTGCAGACCATCAAATTCCTCTGTTTCTTTTTTTGGGTACAGTAACCATCAAATTGCAGTAAACAAATCCAAGAGAGAGAGAGAGAGAGAGAGAGAGAGATCTTAGAACATGAGAACCCATCAAGAACAGTTCA